CCAATGATGGTAAGATGATGTCATGGGGTAGGACTGGATAAGTCTGACTTCTTCCTACTCCATTCAAGCATGTACTAGGTATAAGCAAATTGATATTGGATTAGCATTTGTTGGATATGTGTAAAATTATGTGTGTTGACATATCAACTGTCTTTACATGTTTGAAAGAATAAATCAAATCAAATCAAAACCCTGAGATCTGCATGAGCCCTGTGGTCACCATGCTAGCTCCCTTCTCCTACCAGCATCTCCCATTGAACTGAAGATGTTTTCTGTAACGTCCAGAATGCGGTCTGTTGCTTCTCCATGACGCCCGATAGGGTGGCCTCCACTGGCATACTGTTTAATGTGTTGCAGCAGCTCGTTGAGGGCCTGAGTGACGCCTGTGGCAGCCACGCCCACCTGTTTCAGGAGGGCCTCGTCACTGGTGGCCCCCTGTGACGCCTCTACACAGCCTTCTACTGATTTGGCCACCAGCTTGCCTGCCTCGATCAGCTGCTCCTGGCACACTGGGGAGCTGATGGTGGGAGCCACCACCTTGATGAGGAATAAAACAGTGTAGGTGGGAGAACAAGAATAAAAAGAGCTTAGGTTGCATTTACATACAACAGTAAAGTCTTTTTAATGGTATTCGCTTTCAGATGGTGACTGCTATGATCACTGACCCTGGTGCAGGCCACCAGCTGGGATGTGGACAGAGCACACTGAGTGGCTGCAGCAATGACACGGTTCTGCTGGGCTGAGTCCTCGGTCTTCTGGGCCACATTTTTGGCTTTAAGCACCAGAGCCGCTGCAGCGTTAGCCACAGCCTTAGCCAGCTGCATCAGCATGTCCTGCCAATGACAACCATGCACAACAGTAAGCATTACCTAGCACTGATCACTCACTGCTCATGGGTGAATGAGGAACAGTTGTTAATGAATAAAAAGTGGAATGCTTCAAATTATACAGATTTAGAAATTATACAGAATTCATAATTAAAATCTGAAATCAATACTTGATTAGGTTTTCTCTATTCAGAAATGATCCCAGTCAAAAGTGAAAGGTTCTGCATTGGTGTTGCTTTAAGTTATTGGCCAGGGTTAGGTTTTTAAGCGCATTTCAACACACTAGCATGTTAACGCTATGCAGATCCTTCAACTTCACAGCAAAAAAAAGGGGTTTGGACAAAATCTCCAGGCTTTGTTCTGTGAAAACCAGAACACAGCCTCATATCAACTTAGGGTTAGGGATGTTGACTTCTCGGTCAGTTTAGAGAAGAGGAATTTACAGCAATGATTAACTCTAAGTGCAAATGGGCATGTGATCATTGAATTAAAATACATTTCTAGACATCTGAACTTATCCTTGAACTTGAGAACATCACTGCCAGTTAAAGGTTTGGACACACCTTCCCACTGGACTGAAAAGCTGTGGGACTGATTACTGATCAGATTCATTACAGTAAAGACACCCACAGCTACAGCCTTAGCTGTTACTGTTACTACTGGACCAAATCATGATTGACAGACGGAACTGTGATTTTTAGACTAGATTAATTATTACTACTATACCTTGTTGACTAAGAGATTATTCTGATTGGCCCTTTATTTTTTTATGAATGAATCATTTGTCTTAAGGACACATTTGTTACCAGCATTTGACAATAAGAGGGGACTCTCCATCTGGCACCCCTGAAAGATCCTTTACCTAGAAACTGTCAAATGCAGACAGAAACAGAGGGAACACAGGAATTTTATAAAATGACAAAAGACACTAGTCCCAACATATTTTCTTCTATTAACTTTCAGTATTCTTTCACTCATTCTTTTGGGGTTGAGCACTGACTGAGCTTATTTCTGGAGGAAAAATCCTCAGGCATTAAGGACACGGACAGGAAGTTGTTTTTTTTAAGGTTCATTTACTGAATCCCTGTGAGGCCAAACATGGCACCTCAAAAGCCAGTTCAAATTGAATGTAATGGGTTTTTTTAAGAAGGGTTTTGGGCATTTTTGCCTTTATTATATATGGTATGTGACATTATGTTTACGTTTTTAAAGGTCTCACTGATCAGGAATACTTACACATTTTTTCCATTACCGTATGAACCACAGTATTTCCAATGAAGGTGCTTCAGAGCAAGAATGAAGTACCACCCAAAAGATAGTAAAACAATAAAAGTACCAGTGCATTAATCAAAGTGAAGGTGCACACACCTGGAACTGTGGATCAGTATCTGCCTCTCCTATGTGAGACAGCAGTTCTCCACTGGCCTGGCCCACATTTCCGGCAGCCTGCAGCAGGTTTTGACGAGGCTGCAACCAAAACATATTATAGACACAAACTCAAACAACTAAGAGGACTTTTGAAAACCGTGACATAGCTCCATGTGCCTGTAGCTTGTCTGTGTACCTCTGTGCTTGTAGGCTGAGCAGTCTTTAGCATGTCAGATACAGCACAGGCCAGGTTTTTGGCAGCTCCCAGCAGCTGCTGACCATTTCCTCCTGCATCCTCCATCAGCGCTGCCAACAGTTTAACACCCTTTGACATTTCCGTCAGGTTAGAGGAGATTGTAGTAACAGCACAGCCCACTGCTGTGTAGTCCGTCTCTGCTGGGTCACCTGACGACGGACAGATAGGCAAGTGTATGAATTCCTAACACTGAGGAATTATAGATAAGAGGAATCGTTTGCAGTGCAAGCTGGTACACATCAAACACACAGTAACAACATGCGCTGTGGTTAAATAATGGGAGAAGCTTAAACTTGTGTGTATATATACACACACACAGAGTTTATGTTTCGTAGTCCATGGGGACTTTACATTGACTTACAATTCATTTCCTGTAGACTAACCCTAACCTTAACCAGAACCACAACCCTAACCCTAACCTCATCCTAACCCTAAACCATGTTGCCACCCTAAAATTCAATTTCTTGCCCATGGGGACCTCAATTTAGGTCCCCACCGTGAAATGGGTCCTCATGAGTTGGTATGGAGTCAGGAAGAAGTCCCCACATAGCAGGAAAAACACGTCCACACACACACACACACACACACACAATATATACAATTTAAAAGGTACTGTAGATGCTGCAGTGTTTTTACCTGCAGTGAGGTTGACCATGGAGGCAGTGCCTGCTGTGATGGCATCCACCTGTGAATGGATCTCATGTTTGGACTCATCCATCTTGTTTTTGCGCCATGCTTGGGATGCCTTAAACAAAGAACAAGGAAAAAGAAATCCTCTGGTCACAAAGATGTAGAATGGACTGCTCGGTATTCATATCAATGACATCACTGAAATCACTCCACTTGGATTCAGAAAAAAGGAGCTCGGTCTCACAGCATCTGTTCCCAGTGGGGGCAGCGTATCAAAGTCATCCAGAGAGGCCTGGGCCGCCTGGACAGCCTGCATACTGGAGTTGATGGTTCCAGTCAGTGCTTGTTGTGCTGAAGTCTGTGGAAACACAAAAGTACTATCACTAATATGACCTACTGTGTTATAGTTGATACCATTTCTAAATAATTTTGGTATTCTCAAAAACAATTCTACCACTCCATCTTAAATATTTTTGAACTTGGAATGAAGTGACGAAGGAGCATGTCAATCAGTTTAACAGTGTGGCACATTTGACTCAAAATGATTAGTTCTGAGCTCATTATTCTGAAAAGTGAATTATTTACTGTAATTTGTGACTTTATCTTCAGAATTTCCATAAAGAAATAAAAAAAAAAAACTTCCCCTCAAAAATCTGTCTTTATCCTAAAACCATCTTTCCCATTCGGACCCAATGCTCATCTATACAGAATGTAAAGAATGTTTGCCAGCAACCGCCCAGGAATCACAGAAGAAATTTAGCTTTTAACTACATCTGGTGCAGTAAATATATTTTGTGAAATCTGTGCTAAAAACAAACAAACAAAAAAATATTGTCTTTGTTTTACCAGTGGAGGCATGTGTCCTCTATGCATTTGTCCACTGGTGATGTGTTGCTTGGCCTGTGGCATGGAGCCCATCTGAAAGCTCTCCGGCCCTCCAGCTCCTGAGCGCATGATGGCTGGCAGGGCCACTGAGCCCGTCTCCACCTTGCCCACCTTGTTGAACTGCTGCTGCAGTACTGTGGACCTGGAGTGATGACAGACAAAAACAAAAAAAAAAAAAAAACATAAAGACAAGTTATTTAAATAATAAATTCAGGGGTTTCCCCGCTAACCACTGAAAGATCCCAATAAACTGTCATAGCATGCTGTATCAGTAACACAAACTTACTTTTTGGGTGACACAGAGTCTTCCAGCATGGTTGACTCTTCATCTCCCTCCAGGCCAAAGTGGTCTTTGCTCTTTTTCTGAGGAAAAACAATAATGATGTCAGTGGATAATACTGAAGGGTTGGCCAGCAACCACTGACACTGTGTAGGTTTTGTCTGTTAAAACACAATGCATATTTTTTAGGGACAGTGGCCAATAAACACATGTAAGCAAAGCAGATAGTCACTTTTTATAAGGAAATTAAAATGTAGCAAAAAAGCTGTTTGTCTGTCCTTCTATAATAAGCAACCCTTAGATAAACTTCTTGTTCTCTCTCCACTGGGGGATTGAAGAAGAGAAACTGATGACACCCATGACAGGAAAAAAAATCTAGTTAGTAAACTGATCAATTTTATCACCGTACTGTATAATGATGGCCTCATGTTAACGCTGACGGTTACCTTCTTGAGGATGATGTCGATATAACCAGCAATAAGCTGAGCTATCTGCTCTCCCTCAGTGGTCTGCACAGAGTAGTAACCATCCTGGTAGTCTCCAAAGTCCTGAATGCAAAACACAAAACAACCTCAGATGAAAAGATTAACACCCTTAGCTAGGGCTTAAGATGCTGCCCATGACCAACATCGTCCCGGGTGTCAGTCTAGCTGATATTTTGGAGGGATGTGGGCTGACAGCAGCCTGGCCGAGAGGCAACTTTCAACCTGGGCAGTCTTATTTTAGCTCACATCCTTTCATCCTTGACACATTTCACGAGTGTCTTGCTGCACAGTAGCTGTTACCATTTATGTCTCCTAGCTACACAGATTTCTGACTTGGTTTTTATTCTTCAGTCAAAGAGATTCAAGATGAGCACTAACACATACATACAGTAGGATTTGAAACCATTTAGGACTGTGCCAAAAAGTCCACATGAAAGCTGAACACAGCAAGCATTTTAAACTGGTATTTGCTCTTCTAGGCATCTGCATGACCACACATGTTGAGCAACTCAGGTTAATTTAGGACAAGGATCATATGCACATATGCAATCACAGAGCATCGTGTCTCAACACAGCTAGAGATGCTGTATTGAGATGAAGGGGAAGCATCAAGGCTAAGTTCAGACATGCTATAAGGGAAACTCTGTTCAGCTTCTCGTATCACTTCATTTATCAGGCTACACAAACTTTGTTATGATCAGCGAAGATTTGAAAGAAAACTGACACAGTTAATCTTCCCTTGGGCTCAGAGACAACCTGTGTTTCCACAGAGAACTCACCAGGGTGAAGCTCTTGGGTGAGGCAGCCCAGCGTTTGATGTTGGTCAGGTTCCACTCCTGGATCACCTCCTTGGTCTTCTCGTCCACCCTCATCACACACTCCTTGGTGATACCCAGCAGACGAGGCACCAACTTGTTCTTGCCCTTCATTTTCTCCTGCAGGCGGTTTAAGGAATCCAGCAAGGTTAATAATGCATCTGAATTTCTAACTTAACCATTTGGCTACATGTCTGTAATACTGGTGGTCAATCAATATGGGGCTTTTCAGTGGCTGATGCCAATATTTATAGACCGAGAAGGCTGATGGCAGATATATACAGTGAGGAACAGAAGTATTTGAACACCCTGTGATTTTGCAAGTTCTCCCACTTAGAAATCATGGAGGGGTCTGAAATTCACATTGTAGGTACATTCCCACTCTGAGAGACAGAATTAAAAAAAAAAAAATCAGGAAATCACATTGTATGATTTTTAAAGATTTTATTTGTCTTGCACTGCTGAACATAAGTATTTGAACACCTGAGAAA